CGCAATTATCAGCCGAGCTTGAAAATTATGTGCGCGCATACGGAACAAACAAATGATACGCAGCGGCTCTTCCCATTGTCGTTGTTACTGTATGTCCTATACGCGAGCGAACGCGCGGTCGCTACATTTCACGCGTTAAATATACAATCATCGTGCGCGGCATATTTTTTAAGGAGGTACCTCCGCTCAAAATTTACCGAAGAGATTCGACTCAAACTTCGTACACTAATCCTTTTTAATGATACAAATGAACTTGCAAAATTGTATGCAAGTTCAGTACTTCGTTTAGAAGATATTCGTATTTCAATTTAACATTGAGTCGAATGAGAAAGTCAGTTACAAGAGAATATCTCAAAATTTACCGAAAAGATTCGAGTAAAATTTTATGTGTATCATAATTAACTACCAAAGAACGTACGGTTAAATTTTCGTAGACATTGGATACCTTTTTAATGCTCAATTAATTAATAATAATTTATTGACACTAATCTCGGGACATTTGACCAGAATTTCGCCGGCGGGAGCGGATGACATAACCTAACATTTTTGAATTTCTCAGCGAAACGCAAATATCTTATATTATTTATAACGAAGACTATAATGACCTATCATTGATAGAAATTCAAAATTAAATAAATAATGGGTTGTTTAATTTTATATCAATAATGTTTTATGCAATATAAACATTTTTTTTTATAAAATATGATTGAAAAATAACAAAATTTTACAAGTTTAATTATAAACTTCTTGAGATTAACGACACCAGCCGAGCAGTAAAAATATTGAGTTTTTCACAGTTGGTAGTTCTGCTCGGAGGTACCTCCTTAAACGAATCTTCCGAAAGTATATGCAGACAGTTGAGGTATTAAACGAGTTGTGGCCCATATTCCGTCTGACTACTCTCAATCTTCTTGGACTGGCTGCGCATATTCATCCGTGTACGTTTTCCTTACGCCCTTCCGACCGGCTGAGTGTATGTGTATGTGCGCGCGCGCTCAAGGAATATATTTCCTATTCTCCAGAGAAGCAGTTGGAGATGACGTACGAGTGTGACACGGACTCGCACTGCTCTCGCACATAGACTTACACGCGCGCGAGGGCGCATAGGTAAAATAGCTGTACACACACGCCTTAAAGTGGCTTGTAATGGCATACTTTATCGTGCTCTACCTGCATTTATAATACCTCCGTATAAGATATAGTCGACGGCTGCAGTCGCCTCGTGCGTTCGTGCACACACACACTCACTTGCGCGCGCACACACATACCTGCACTCTAAGCTCAATGACATTAATATTTGCATGAAAATGTTCGCTTGTTGTCACAGAGAAAAGACATTGTTACACATTAATGTATGACTTTATTTCAAGAAAACGGAGAAAGAGAGATACGTTTGCGGAGAAAAAAATTCAATATCAGCTTACTATCACGGTATCAAGGTTTTGAAAATTTCAGCGACTCGTTATGTGATGCTTTTTTTGCGGCTGATAGCGAGGGAGAGAACGTCTTGCGCACGAGCCTTATCTTATCCCGCAGGAGTGGATAAACCATTCCGGACGTCACAGCAGCCTTGTCCCCGAAGTACCTATAGATATTCCTTCCAAGTTATGTGTCTCTCAGGAACATAAGCTAGACCACACGCGCCTGGCTCGCAGCTGTAATACGTGTATACTTTTGGATATTGAAGTCCGGACGTGGTTCTCTTGCACGAAGTAAAATATTTAGCAAAAAGTGAGATTATTGATGTTTCAACGAGTCGAGAAGCGAAAGGCATCGTCCAGCTTGAGAATAAATAATTTCTATTGCTTAATTTTTCGAGTGATCGCAGATAAAATACACAAAGTCATCATGTAGTTATACCGGCGAATTATCGGAGACGCGATAAAAATACCTCGCAACTTATTCTCATTGGCCGGAGAATCGATTCGACGAGATGTATAATTCAACTCATTACTGCGAGAACAAAGAGTAGCAGCAGCAGCAGCTACCGAATGGGTAGAAAATAGAAGCCAAGTTAAGTATTCTTTAGAAATATACGCGCGTATCAACGCCAAGGAAAAACACATCGGTAAATTTTCAGGCACGTCTATTCCGTTACATTAGACGTATTGGTACTGGATATATGCAAGTACCAAAATATGTTTTACAGATACTGCGTGTACGAACGAGCCTCGGTGCTGCGAAGAGAGGAACACGAGTGTGTCGGCAAAAGAAAAACTGTTTCCCGACGAGTCGACTCATCCTCGTCGTGTATGAGAACTGCTCGTCGAGTTATAAAACATCAAACGGTAAACTCGCGAGGCGATGTATGTTTATCTCTATACGTCTGTATGTGGGTATTCGTATGGGTAATACAGGTAGGCGCAGGTATAGCATCATCACGAAAACGCGTAAAACCGTTTGACCGTGTCCCCGATACCCTTTGACCTATGAGCGATTCTGTACAAGTCCGCGTGCACGGCAAACAGCTGCATCACTAGAATTTGCATGATCCATCCGCCTGTGCATGTGCGCGTCTGCCTAGGTGCATCTTTTGCAATGCGACTAGGCCTCTCTCTCTCTCTCTCTCTCTGTATACGATTCATGGAATTTAACAATGAAGATATGACTGTTGCGCGCAAACATATATACACACACACGGGCTCAAGCGGGTTTGGGATGCAATGTCAAAGGGGAAGAGAACGAGAAAGAGATAGAGAGAGAGAGATTCTAGTTTCACGACTTTACGTGAGCATACACTCGCACTCGCATTCGCATTCGCGTACGCACTCATACGTATGTGCAGTTACGATAAATCGCGAGACCAATAATATTACCGAGTACGACTGCTGGGCATGAAAATTGAATTTTCTCCGTGAAAGATTTTCCTGCAGTCCGTACTTCTGGAATATTTTTACGTTCGATGTATGCGAAAAATCAGCGTAGTTATATCGCGCGCTCAGAGAGAGAAAGAGAGAAAGAGAGAGAGAGAGAGAGAGAGAGAGAGAGAGAGAGAGAGCGAAAGAGAGAAGTAGCGAGCCTGCAGACCCTGAATGAAAAAAACGAGCTAAACGACTTTTGTAAAACCAGTTTTTCAACGGAGCAATTGCACTGCTGCGTTAAACTCGTAGAGCTGCTTGATTTATTCAATAAACGTTTAGCGAAATATACATACATCATTGGTACGCACTCTTACACGTGCACGCACACCAACTCACACTAGCATGTTCATATATTACACTGACAAATTCATTATAAGCATATTTATATCATACATGCTTAAACACAGATTCTTAAAGAAAAATTTTACAAACAGATCAAACAAAATCGTTATCAATAATCATGCTAGAGTTTAATACTCCACCATTGAGAAAACTTGACCAAAGCAAAGCGAGGGCTCTGCCAAAGTTAACCTGTGCAATACTATTATTGCTATTGCCGCGTATTTTAACACAAGAGTGACCCCTACTATGCTATAATTGAGTTTTCTCGCTGGTGCAGAATTTAAATCGAACTAGTGTATAAAGCCAGTAAACCCTGCATAGGCTCATTTTGAAATATTTTTATTCAAAAAATACAAAGAACTTTATTTTTTTAATTTTAGCAAATTCAATGATTTTGGGATTTCAATGGGTTTACGGAGAATAAAAGTTCAACTTTGAATCTGTAAATCTATAAAGATGCCACCTAAAGGTTTTAAATTTTGAGAATTCCTGAAGGATGTTTTTAGTCTGTACTTTATTTTTTTATTATTTTCTGATTAACATGATACAACTTACATATATTTCAATCATGATTGACCCGTGAAGATATAGCTAAGGATTTATGTGAAATCCAGCTTCTTGTTCCTCTTCCTCGGAGGAGAGCCTGTCTGCAGTATTTTATACATCTAGATCAAGCACAAAAGAATTCCGTATCCAGTTTGAAGAGACAATAGCTCGAGTCAATAGTCGTATGTTTACTTTTGCTATATATAAATTACCCTTAAAAAGCTCTTTTTATTCATAGAAAAATGCACTTGGCATTTTAGCCGGAACGGCTGCAAGACACGAACTGAAAGAAGAATCCTTCTTCGGAGATAATTAGGCTAAAAAACATACCTACCCGACGTTCGTCTATTTACCTTGAAAGCCTCAATTTCTCTTCCTTCACTCGTCCAAACTGTCGGTCGAGAACAATCGAACTTTTTTAGCTCTCTCCCCTTGGAGCTCTGAATCTTGCGAATGAAAAACAATGAGACGCTTGCCAACATGTAGGCGCACAATGATTGAGATTCAAACTTTAATCGCCAAATGGACGAAGCGAGGCTCTCCGACATCATCATCGGCTGGCTACGTGGACACTCGCCAATATCGCGCGCCGCTTTGCTCTCTGAAAAATGAATGAAATTGGCTAATGTTGCCACAAGCTCAAGAGTCATTAAAGAGTACAGACGAATGTAAAGATGCGGTGGTTTTAAAGTTAATGGGGAGTGAGAGCTGCATTCGAGAAAAAGAGCCTGCTAGCCAGGCCATTTTACGAGCCTCACTCCGAGTGCGTTTGTGGTTGTTTGTATGAATATATATTATGTACAATATTCTTTTTCTAGAGCTCATTCGCGAGATGAGCTTGCAATTTCTTACACGCTCCCGAGCACCATTTCGTTGTTTCCTCGGATTCTATAGGCGCGGACAATACCAGGCTAAACTTGTATTAGATGGTTTTTTATTTCTCGGTCGAAATCGTGATTCAAGTTTTTAATTAAAAAGTTCGACAAGATGTTGCGTGAAAACCAATCGCCGCGGCTGCTGCAAGAGTAAAACTTTTTCGTGAACTCCATTCGTAGAGAAAAATTCAATTTTCTCTCTCGACGACCTGCGCACAAAGTGCGTTTCTTATTGTAGAAAGTCAATGAATGGATGCGCTACACGACTGTGGTGCTGCTTTCATCGCCTATTCTCTAATGAAATTAAACTTTTTTCGACTGCTCCTTTCCTTAATGGTTATGTTATAAAACAACGAATTGTTATTTTATGTTTCAGGCGAAGTTATTGGCCAGCGATTTCTCGGCAACGAAAGTCACGTCGAACACTTTAAGCTACTTGAGCGATCGCCGACGTACTTCCTCATCGGTGCAAGGTAAGATTTTTCATGCGGAAAATATTTCTAACTCTATAGCTTGTTACACCTATATATCAAATAAAATAAAGTCGATTTCCCCTACGAAACTCCCGAGCTTTTCTTCGATATGCGCATTTCCCCGAGACGAGCGATTATCCGTCTTTGCAGAGCTCGCAAGCTCGATTTTTTTGCCAAGTACGACAAAAGCACGCGTGATAATTTCTCATCGGGTTTTTCAGAAAGCCATTTTCATGTATGAATTTTTCTTTCTTTCTTATACATCGTATAGAAGGCTGACCTGGCGTAGCACTTGTTGCGTATCAGCGTGTGCGTATAATACGATTTATGCCCGGTAACGCTGTAACGATTTTTTTCAATTCGTAAATAATCAACGGAAATGATTAGTTCATCTTCATTATTTTATTGTGGTACTCTATTGAACTAACTCTTTTTATACTTTTTTTTCTCATTTAATAATAATGAAAAATGTAGAAAAAGTGTCTTTCGTTAATGTTTAGTTAACCTGTTTTTTATAAAAAAAATTTTGATGACTATCTCTTGAAAAAATGAAAAAAAAAACAAGAAGGCAAAGCAAGAGTAGCTATAAACTAACTACCGTCATCGCACGAATCTTCGGCGCGTAAAGTAATCTCACTTAAAACCCTATTTTACAAAGTAATTAGTGCTGATTCTCGTTCTATCTTTTTTTTAATTTCACGACAACTTCATTAACGGCGCCCGTACGAGTAACTGTCATTTGACAAAAGAAAAGCACAAAGAAAGTAAAAGTAATAGGTTAACTGTATGTGTAGGTGTGCACGTGCAAGCTGCGTGCGTGCATACTTATGTACCTAGACACACGCATACTTGTACTTATAGGCACGTATAGAACCTATTCATCTCCCAATTAACTTCAGCGCCGTAACTTCATTTCAAGGATGGCACTATAATAATTCGGTGAGATGCAGTAGCAGCGTCGTCGTCGTCGTCGTTGCAGTCGACGACGATGGGACAATTAAACTCAGCACAAATTACAAATGGAACGACGACAAACTCGTTTAAGCTTGCTGCGCTTACACTGCCGCGCGCGCCGTGCTTTACTCTTCTTTCGCGCTCCATCTGACGAGCTTTTTGCTCTATATACGTACGCGTGTGCCCGTATACATGGCTGCTTTTCGTGCGCATGATTTTACCAGGGAGCGACTTGAAAGCTGTGTTGAGAAGAAAAGTTAGAGCTTGAAACTGTCGCATTTTGATCTCATCTCGTTACGGAAAATACCGACCGACTTGTTTACACAGTCTCATGAGATAAGAGAAAGAAAGAAAGAGAGAGAGAGAGAGAGATAAAGATCAAAGTTCCATTATTCTCACTCGCGTCATTCTAAGATTCAGTGATCTTACGCACAATGCAACATAATGTTCGACTTTTGAAATTCAATAAGCGCTTTCTCTCTTAAGCCCACAAAAGACCATCGAGTCAAACGACTCATCATTTTTGTCCAATGCAGCTTCAATCTACTAGTATATAGTACTTAACTTACGTATACACTCAGAACATGAAAAGCAGCTTTGTTTTACTTAAGACGCGCTGGAAACGAGCTCAGCGTTCAAAAGTAAAATGTCAGATTGCTGGCATGATAAAATCAAATCGTTCGTGATTTTTCCGCGCCTTCTACTCAAAAGGAAGATAATTTTTTCTTAACATAATTTTTCGGCGTGTTTCATTCCTCAGAGCATGTGCTCGGTTGTGTAGCTTCGGGACAGGGTTGCTGGATGGAGAGAAGGGATGGAGAGCGAAAGAGCGATTGATTGAAATTGGGCAGTTAGCCGTTAGCTTTTCGAAGCATCGCATCTAGCCCTCGCTATCTCTTTTCTCACTCCAGCACGGAGCTTTTTTTGAGCCTGCAAGTTTCTCAGAGAATCACCCCCTTTGTTAATTATTTACGTAATAAAGAAGTTTTATTGTTAAGAAAGTGCGTCTACGTTTTGATTGACCTTGGTTCGCATAAAGTAAATTCTACATTCGCTTGCAATCATCTCGTCGCATATTTCACTTGGCCCGCAGCGGCACCAGCATGTAAACATTTAACTTAAAATTTGAATACTCGTTTGTATAAATGATAACCGATGAATATACCTTGAAATCAATCCAAGTTTTTTTTCTCCAAGTAGATAAATTTGATTTCATGCAAAATCATCAATGTTGATATGATTAAAATTAAATGCAAACTTTTTCATAAATTATTTAACATTAATTTCAAATCATAATTGATGTAAATAAACCATTTCTCGGAATTTTCATTTTTGAAGTTTGCAAATTCTGGAACAAACTTTTGGAATTTTAATTCCTACTATTTTCAAAATTTTGGAAATCAATTCTCGAACCTTTCTTCGGAATTTAAATTCTCGGAAATCCTACAAATTTGGAATCAATCCTTGGTATTTCAATTTTTTATTTTGTTAAAACTTTTACATTTATAATTTTACTAATACCTTCAATAAAATTTATCATTTTTATGTAAAGCTTTACTTAATTTGATTTCATTTGTCTTACAGTTTGAAATCATTTAAAAACAACAACACTTTTTCTCATTACAGGAATGCCATTTACAATATAAGTCTACACGATCTTACAGAAATTCCTGACCAGGTGAGTTTTTTTTTACTTTTTTACTTAAATGATATACTTACATTATGCAACTTTAAATCTAGGGTTAAGCAGGCTTAAGAGATTGAAACAAGACGAGTATATTATGTATCTTTTAATTTTTAAATCTTAGCATTATTTTTTAGCTTTCGCGCTTTTCTCTTGTTGTATTAAAATCATACTGTATTTGCTTGATTTTAGTTACGTCCGAAAATTAATGCCTGATGGCTTGTAAAATTTAAAAAATAAAGGTCAATGAACTACAAAGATTCACTACGGAAAAGTTGCTGCGTAAAAATTTTTGACAACCGCTTGATTCTCTAAATGCGGCTAATAACTGTTCGACGTTAATGCAACATGCAGTACTAGAAAATAAAGCGCACTTGTTCGTATATTACATTAAAATTATATTTGCGCGTGTAGACCATTTAGAATGCGGAAAGAAATGTGTACCCATCGATTTCGCAGATAAACACTAGCAGTGGAACGCGAAGAATGTTCAAATAACGTCAAATGTGTTAAGCCGTTCGCGTATACGTTCGTTCAACGAACGACGCATCGAGAGCAACAAAGTCGATCCGCCGAGTAATATAAGTGCTCTTTTTTATTGCGCGCAGAGTTGATGGTCATTCGCAAGATGAGTACGAGACTCTCAAGATCGTTATAGTATGTATTAGCGGTTTTTTTTTTGCAGAACATTTTTAAGAGGTGAGTTTCGGACGTAATTACACAGCAGCATTGACCGATGTAACTTCTTCAACTTTAGAGCCACGAACAAATTTGTAAGGAAAAAAAGTGTTTTGGATACCCAATATTTTTTGTTTCATATTTTGATATGAAAGTTTTAGTATTCCGTACGTTTAATAACCAGACCGTAGAACGATTTGAAGGAAAAGTTGAATTAGTCAGGGCGATTTGCCAGGATGAACGAGAATGAAACTTGTGAAGGGTGTACCTAAGTACTTTGATGAACTTGAACTATAGTACGGTATCGAGTAACCTAGGGGTGCGTTATTACCCCGATATGGTCGTCAAAGGTTAAGAGTATTAAAGAGTTATAATGCAGCCGCTCTTAAAATATATGCGTAATACCGCGTGAATCTCGGCTCTTGTGCTTAAAAGATGCTAAAGATCTTTTTTCTGAAAGTCTTTAGATATTTTTCTATTTAATACAAAAGCTGTAGGAATTAAAACGTTGATAAGAATTTTCAACAGAATTTTTCTGCCCAAATTGACGATGAGCTTGGTCGGAAGCGATTTCATTAAATTCGTTAACCGAGGGAGAAATTGCCTTTTCAAAAAAATAGTAAATTCTCCCGATGCCTCGGTGTCTGTGGGAAAAAATCGTCAAAGGGGGAGGAAGAGGAGGTTGGGGAGAGGGGGGAAGGGAAGAAGAGGAGAGAAAGGGAGATGAAGAATTGTTACAAAAAATTGAACACGACGAAATCTATACGCAATCTAGCGGGCAACATCGTGGCGATGTGTACACTCGATATTCCTGCGGTCAGCGCACGCACACATATAAATACTTGCAAGAGATCTTGCCCACACGTATGATCGGATTTTATTTTCTCTCGCATGCATACAAGTTCGATTCTGTTCTATTTTCGCGGTGATCTTGACAAAGCTCAGCAAGCGTGTCGTTATGAAAATAGTTATGAAACGAGATGATAATTCGACTTGATAAGGTATCAATTTTTTGAAAATTTTTTTTAATTTACTGTACAGGTACTAATAAGGTTGAAAATTCAAAAGTTTCGTAAAAAAATTGTACAATAAGTTTTTTGCTTTAATATTCAATATCTTGCAAAAAAAAAGTTGAAAAATCGTATGAGCTGGTAATAAATGAATGAATGAGTCAAGCTAGTTCCATTGGCGATGCAAACTCGAAGGTTTATTACATAGGTTTATTTATCTTCCGTATAAATCAAAGTTTTACAATGCATGATTCATATGATTTTGTCTATCCATAGCTGTATCCATTGTCGTCGGCATGCAACGAACGATAAAAAAAAAGGGGAGAAAAAAAGGGCAAAATCTCCGAGCACAGACTGTTGAATTATAATTAAGTGCAACGGAGCACGATATTACATCGATATATATAGCAGATCTACAAGCTGGGCCGCTAATGGAATCCGAGCCGCGCGCGCCTGACAAAATCAGCTATGCACTGGAAATATAGCGGAATATAACGGTCCAGCTCGCGTATTTATATGGGACTGTCTGTGCGCGCGCGAGCCAGTACGTATTTATGCGAGTGCTCGTTTGTAGGTTTTAGCTTCTGTCGTCGTTTGCTGATTCGCGCATGCACCTGCGTAAGCGCTAGCCCCGAGCCTGCAGTCGTTTTTGCAGCCTGCGTATTTACGGCTAGCTCTCGCGCTCGCGACTCTTACGTACAGCACCATGTACACATATATATACGAATGTACTTCGAATGGTGCATGTGCATGCAACGAACGGTATCGCAGTTCGCTCGGATATACGTAACGCCTCATGGACCCGTTCGACGCGTACATATATACTTGTAATTCGTTGCGCCGTATATAATCCATCCATCGACGCTCCTACTAGCGAGTCATTTTTTAGGCATTAATAACTCGACTTGTTAGCGAGTGAAAATAAAAGTATCTCTCTTATCAGCTTTTTGACTTTTGTCGCGTAATTACAAATAAAATACGTATAGCATACACTTTCTTAAGTCGGTACCACAACTTGCAATTAAGCGTGTACGTATATTACGTACACGCACGTAAATTTACGCACACGTAAATTCATTATGATGAAGCATCTCCGACATTCGCTACGGAGCTCACAATACATTATTTCGTTCATTTCCTTTTGCCGCTAGTTACCGCGTTGAATATTCGCCTATGATACATATATATTATATATAACGGTTGATGCTGCAGCGTCTGCAAAACACACACAGACACACACGTTGCACACATTTTCATCAAGATGTTTTCACACACTCGATTCTTCGGAGTATTCTCGTTGTTATTCACAAGCAAGTGTACATGTGCAAGTTTATATGTATTGCTTATAGTAGCTGAAGCTGCTCTCCTCTAATTACAAGTCTACAAAAGCTAGCGCGAATACATACTTGTGCAGATGTGCAGATGGGCAGAGAGCGATTGTTGCTTACGTGTACGGATGCGCGTACCAAATCAAGCAGAGTGTATGCATTTATAAGTATACGTACTTGGCGTGCAAAAGGATCGCTAAAGGAAAGCTGGCTCGGCTCGAGCGAGCGAGATGTAAAAATAAAGTCCGCGGCGGCGTCGACGCGTCTCGCTCGCCTCTAATGATTCGCTCCGAGCCGAACTCGGCTTTTATTACCTCGCTCTCTCAGGCACTTGGCGTTGGCGCGATTCGAGCGACGATAAGGAAAAACAGCGGAAAGCTATCCGTTGTTCGATCAACGCCGCGAATATTTAATTGATCGCGTAAAGTACTGTTACGCAATGGCAGCGCGACTCGCCGTGAATGAATTAACCGTTGCGTCGCACATCCACATGTATTAAATAGCGCTTGCGATACTTGAGAAAATCGTAATATATATTTTTCTCTCTCCAGAGCGACGAGAGCTATTTACAACGAAGACGACGACGGAGTCGACGACTGTACTTTGACGATGTGTATATATATGCATCCGCGCGCACACGTGCTTATTATAGAATGATTTAGTCGCTCATAATGCGATGCTACATATATACGTATTACGTGTGTAGGTACGAATGTATAACGCACAGAGCTCGACGCGACTTGCGTAGAGCCTAATTAGCGCACGACGTCGACTGCGAGACGAAGGATCGTAGCGCGCGCTACATTAGTATACGAGAAGCTCCTTCTAAGGGGCGTCGTGCCTCGTACTTCTATTCAGCCGCGATCCAGCTTATGAATAATCCAGACCTTAAAAAGGATCTCAATATTGCATTAAAGACGGCGGAGAAAGAGAGACATAGAGGAAGAGATGCTCGTGCCACCGAAGCTGCATTCGAGCGAGTAAGAAAGCAGTCGGTATAAATTGAAATTGCGGACGCACGCCTGCCGACTAAATACCGCAGTCATTTGTCGCTTGAAAATTGCGGCGGATGGATGAAAAAAAAAGAAATGCACGTGCACCTACGTGTATACACGCAACACGCGTTTAGCGCACACGGTGTCTTTCTCTCGTTAGACAGTGCGAGCGAGCGAGCCTAGTATTGAGCAATTGACTTTGTAAACATTATTTCACGTGCGTCAATGCGTCCGTCAATCAAATCCGCGTTAGCTGTAAAAGTTCAGCCGTAAAACAGCCTATCTCTAAGCTGATCGCAGCAGCTTCGCTCAGCTCTTAAAAGACGAGAAAAAGTCGAGAAATTTAGTGATTTGTCATCGAGGAAGATTAATACAAATATGCAAACCTGGACGCGTATAAAAAGAGTCACGCGTATCCACATATGTTTATATACCGCGTGTATATAGATAGGATACGCAGAGAGTCTGACCGGTCATTCACTCGACTGCAGCGCCTGTGCCTTTCTCATCGTCGTCGTCGCCACCACCGCCGCCGCCGCCGCCGTTGCTAGTGCTGCTGCTGCTGCTGCCGCTGAGACTTCGATATATTCAAGCGATAACGGAGCTTGGAGAGGAGGGAGAGCTCCGCGAGCGCTCCAGGCATTTGCGTCGGTGGTGCATATAAACGTACGAAGAGATTATAAAAGTCGACGCTGTGCCTCCTACCACGGCGCATATTATACATATACACACATGCAGCTGCGAACTCGAGTATTCGTACACGCGCGCGTGCTGTTTCGCGTACATATATAGGTACCGCGCGCGCGATCATGCGAAATTTATCCTCGCTCGATGCTTGACGCGTTATTTTGACACCGAAAAATCTTATCCGCGTGATCGATTTTTGCGCGAAACATATTTTGTTGCGCGATCCGAGCGTGATATATGAAAATAATAAGCCGCGTATCAAAGGATGCGCGCTCGTACACGGACGCTTACGTCGT